ACCGCTAATCGCACCAATTAAGAAGTGTGAATGTCACCCGTTACCTACCAGCTTTGTTACTGAACATGCTAATTAGTAATTGTACAGGTGCAGACTTTTAAGTTTACAAGGTTAACACTGATGCACAGCTTTGTTTTCGCTGTTTGTTTAAATATTGAAAAATCGTGGGTAAAAGGCTGGTCTATGTTGAAGAATGAACAGATGTCATTGCTGTACTTTCTCAGACAGAAAATCTTTAGACTGACTTAAAGCAATAAAAGTGACCTTCTAAGAAGTGATTGTCTGTGGTCAATCTATCAAAGAGCAGGTGTTTTTGGTTCTCTTGCTCTCACGGAAGAGCAGGGAACTTGCCTTCAAGCCGCAGGACAATAGAACTCTACTAGAAGGTCAGTTGAAGGCACTATACTAGAAGCGTGTAGAGTTCATTAAGAGGAAATCCTGTATAAGGGTTTTTGGTAAGCCCAAAGTCACTATATATTAATCTTTCTGAAAGCTTTACTCATTCATTGAGTCAGTGTTACAGATACGTCTTGTAGACGTCTTTTTTAAAAAAGTTTTGACTAATAAAACACCTGGATGAGGGAATCTGTTTCAGAATCACACACCATCAATTTGATAGGAACCAAGAGATCACCCTGACTAGCCTCTAATTGGGGAAAGTAACAGAGATTCATTTTACAGAGAGGACAACTGAGGTCCTAGACATTACATGATTTGCCTAGGTCCATTAAACCAAGATTGACCTCAGTTTGCAAAGTGAGATAGATTTTTGGGAAGATCTAACCTTCAATTGTTCTCTAGCAGAATGAGTAATTCCTGAGGAGCTGGTAATTTTTAGCTTGTCCTCAAGCCTACTGAAATATCTTTGCTCTTTCCATGCATCTGTAAGAGCAACTGTTGTTTTCAGTCATTCAACGGGAAAGTGTGCGGTAAGGGCCTCTTCTATTTTTGTGGTAGACTCCACAACAAATAAAGAACGTCTCTCTGGCTCCTTGGAACCCAAACTGCAAGGTTTTGAGAACTGCTGTGCAATGGCAAAACTAGTTGATTGATTTGGGACCAGTGCCCAGACCACATTTAAGGGAGTTGACCCAGGTCCTGGGTGACCAGTGATCCCTTTGCTCTTGGTCATGATGTGCCTCACTAGTTAACTGCCTTACAGCAAGGGGTAAAGTGGAGGTATGACGAGCAGAATGCCCAGGGGTATGGGCTGCCCTTCTCTGTGAACACAGGGGACAAATCTAACCTTTAATCCATGATTTAACAAACAAACGCACTCCAAAGTTTTAGCATGTGTCTAGCTCATTGTAAATGCTCAAAAAATGGTAGTCATTATTGTTAGCAGTTTATTAGCCTCTGGGAACATTTGCATCTTATATTTAATAACCATAAATAACTAACATTTGCATTGGACTTTAACCTTTTCTTTTTCATGGAGCTGGGACTTTATTCTTCCCTTCATTTTGCATTTAAAATTCATTTTTAGGTTCTGGTTGTTTTGCAAAGACGTGAAATGTTTAGTATAGAAAACTGTAAAAACATATGTCTTATAATAAAAAATCTGTAATTCTACCTCTCAGAGAAAACTATTATTAACATGGGTATGTAACTTTAAGCACTATATTCTATACATGCATAAATCTTTAAAAAGTTAAAGTGGGAATTGATTATGCAAGCTGGTTTAGAAACTACATTTTCATTTATAGTTGTATTTAAAAGTTTTCTTTAAAAATATGTATGTATTTTCATCACAGTCTTTGTTAGCTAAATCATATTTCTATGTGTGGATTTTCCATAATTTGACAAATTTTCTATTTTTGCATATATTGGTTGTTTCTAATTTTTCATAAATATAAGATACCATCATGAGTAGTATCCTTGTGGCTAAGTTTCTTTAGATAAATTCTTAGAAGTAGGATTTTTGGGTTAATACACACATATTAGTATCTATTGCTGCATAACAAATTATCTCAAACTTAGTTTAAAACAACACACTTTTATGATTGCAACTGCTGTAGGTCAAGAGTATGGATGCGACTTAGCTGGTCCCTCTTGAAGGCACCAATCAAGGTGTCAGTCATCAATGGGGGTTGTGGTCTCACTTGAGGCTGTACTGGGAAGCATCCACTTGCAAACTCACTCAGGTTGTTGGAAGAATCCATTTCCTTGCTGCTGTAGGACCAAAAGCCCTTGTTTGCTATAGGCTAGAGGATGTCTTCAGCTCCCGGAGATAGCTGAAAGTTCACTGCCATGTGGCCTCCTAACAGAGGCAGTGCCCAACATGGCAGTTTGCTTCTTTAAGCCAACAAGAAAAACATACTTCAGCAAGACAAGTGTTAAAATCTTATGTAACATAATCATGTAATTACATGTAACCTTTTTTTTTTTTTCCCCTGTATTCATTCTATTGGCTGGCATAAGTTACAGGTCCCATGGTACTGCAGGGGAGGGCATGACATAAGGGCATGAACACCCAGAAGCAGGATCATGGGGGCCATCCTATCTGTCCACTATAATACATGTTTAAAACTTTTGATGAATATAACCAAACTGCAAATGTATCTGTATTAGCACAGAATTAGTATGACCTTTTTCCTATAACATTGACCAATTTGAAAAAATAAATTACCAATTTGATAGAGAATGATACATTTTTATTTGAATATATTTGTTTATAATTGAAAGTAAGTGTATATTCCCATGTTCCTTGGTTATGTGTACATTTCTCTTTTGAGAATTGCCTTCCATGTCCCCTGGGTAGAGTATTAGCATTATTTATTGTTACACTTGTTTCAAGCATTTTTCTCCCTATGTCTGTTGATCTTGGTGCTATTTTATTTTTTTGGAAGGAATATTTAGGAATATGACTTATTTTATCTTATTATAGTCAAGTCAGATATTCTTTACCTTCTTGGTATTCTCATTACCACCATGAAAACTGTTTTCCTGCATCAGGATTACATAAATATTCTAAAAATATTTTTTAAAAACATTTAATAAGGTAATCTCATGATTATTTTTCATTATGTTAAATTCATCTGATATTGGTTTGTTGTATAATATGAAATAGATTTGTTACTATTATTATTATTATTTACCACAAGTGGTTGGTAAATTTCTAGAAACTCATTAAGACTAAAAATCCTGAAGGACCTTAAGCTTAAAGAATTTTTAGCATCCTGAGAGGCACCTAGAACAGATATTTATTTAGAAAATGGGAGCTTAAATTACTCCTTGTGGTAGCTGTCTGCTATATATATACTTTAAGGTCCCTCTGGTACACCATGAGTTTACTTTTTGTCTGTGAACGTAGCAGAGAGATGCTGCAATAAATCCCAGGGTAAACACTGTGAGGTCAATGTGACAAAGTGTGGAAGAACTTCCACTGGTCCCTCCTTTCCTAGTGTGCCAGAATCTGCTAACTGTTCTGCAAAGCAAACTCTCCCCTTCTTCCTCTTAATAATAAAACCTCTTGCGTTGTAGCAGGACTCATGAACATCCATTTATAGTCCACATTTCCCAACTTCCTTTGCAGCCAGTCATGGCCATATGACTAAGATTAGGCCAGTGAGATGTGAGTGAAAGTGATCTGTACAGTTTCCTGGTTACATACTTAAAGAGACTTTTTCTTGACTCTTTTTTCCTTTTCTTTTGTGCTGGAACCTGCATGTGCAAGAGATTCAGCTTTGTCCTTAAAGGCAAAGGCAACCCTGTAGGGCTGTGGTTCCCAATGTGTGGTCTCTAAAACGTCAGCATCAATATCTCATAAGAACTTGGTAGAAATGCAGATTCTTGGATCCCACACTGACCTAATGAATCAGAAACTCTGGAGTGGGCTCAGAAAGCCCTCCAGGTGATTCTGATGCCCTAAAGCAGGGACTGACAAACTATGGCCACGGACCAAAATCACTGGGAGGCCTGATTTTGTACAGCTGGTGAGCTAAGAATGGTTTCCATGTTTTTAAGGAGTTGGCACCACCGCCACAACAAATAAAAACAAAGAATATTTAATTGACATTCTCTGGGCCACAAAGAGGAAGATATTTATTATCTGGTCCTTTACAGAAAAACTTAACCAACCTCGGCATTGAAGTTTGAGAACTCTTGCCGCAGGGCCTGCTAAATCAATGAGATAGAAGAAACTTGGATTTGACTAACTTTGTGGCGCACACTTACTCTGTCAGTTTGGCTAGCTCATCTCAGGACTGCTCAGCAAAGGAAAAATAAGCTCCATCATACGTAAGCCATATGTATGTGGGGTCTCATTGCACAGTGGCTGAGCCCATACCCTAACTAATGGAATAGGTAAGGAGAAGCTGCTAGGTAATGTGATGATCTCCCTTTCCACACCTCACTGTTAGCCAGTGGGTCTGCTATTTGCTGTTCGTGTCCCACATCACATCTCTCCTGGTGGCTCTCTTTAAGGGTTCAGATGTTGGGTTCACCTAGCAATCTTCCATATAACTGGAGTCCCAGAGGCTTCAGAAAAATTCAGGGTCAAGTTCAATCTACCTGGCGGAGGACACAAAAGTTTTCTGCTGAAATCATTTCTTCAGAATAATCAGTAACCTCATAATCAGCAATCGTGTACTTACATATCCTTATTCTGACATATTGGTTTAGAATGCTTGGTGTGTCAGCAGTGAACAAACCGTCATGACCCCTCCTCTGGCTGATGCAAACAGATTCACCCTTGTTGGAAAAAATACAGGGAGTGGCGTTAACTCTTAATAGATAGGATTTAATGGTGATATCTGCAGCTGTCGGCTGTGGGATTTCTTTTTAGGAGGGCAGTTATGATTTAGGCCAGACACATAAGACTATTGCAGTTAGGCAGGTAACTAAAAAGCCTTAAATGACCTTGTAAAGAGAGGGGTCTGTATGCCCAGCTGTGCTCCCAATGCTGGCTAAAGCGTCCCGTCTAGATCAGGAGATGGTGCCACAGAGCCTCTGCCTCGGGAAGCGTAGCAGAGGGGAAGGAAGGGAGAGAGCGGGTTGAACTACAGAGTTCAGTGGGCAGTTACAGCTCTTCTCTGTCCCTCTGGAAATGTATAAGCCAACCAGCAAGCAAGGTGGTAGAGCCTGATTTCCAGCGGGAGCAATGGGTCCCAAGGTAAGGCGCCGCTCACAGAAACAGAGCTCAGGTTTGGGGCAGTCGGGGTGTGGGCGGGCAGAAGAGGGTTGGGTTTGCAGGGAGAGGCAATGGCTTCGCAGCACTTCATAAGCGCAGTTGTGACCACAGGCTCGCTCGTGTCATTTTGTGGGCAGTAACGAAGCCTGACGAGAGGTCTCCTGCTTGCCGATAGCCGGCTGTTGTCCTAAAAATGCAAACCATCGCCTCAGGCCATGGAATCGGGAACAGGCAGAGGACAGAGGCTCCGGCTGGGCGCCCCACTGCTAGCTCTCCCTTCAGCACTCCCGACTTGGACAGAGAAAGCTGGTCTTTACCCTTGTACATAAGGACACAGAAGAAAGGGTTTTTGTTTTTTAAGGTGTCCCAGAGGCCGATGGTTTTAATCCTGACTTTTTGCTGAGCAGATATTAAAGATGGGGGAGGGGGGATGCCTACCACCAATCCCCACGTCCCCATGTGTTTTCTCATGCAAAGTAAGCTTTTTGAACTTGAAAGCTGCATTTTCGCCTAGTTCCCCAGTGCCCCCCACCTCTTCCCCCTCCCCCCTCTATCCTTTTTGTTTTCTCTATAGAGTGGGCTAGTCAATCGGAGCCTCCCCCAGCAAGTCTTTTAACGATGGCTCATTAATAATCGATGGGCCTGGCAAACGCAGGGGTTCACAGCTCCGGGGCGAGGCAGCCGCAGAGCCGGCCCCCAGGATAGAAACCCCGGCCCGGAGGAAGCCCCTGGGCCCAAGGCCCGCGCGGCGGTGCGCTGCTCTGGAGGCTGCGCGGAGCCCCGCAGACCCGCTGGAAGCAAGGCCGGGTCCCGAGCTGCCGCCTGGGCCCGGGTTTAGCTATGCAAACGGCGTCGTCCCTTTCTGCAGTGTTTGTTTGTTGTTTGTTTTTGTTTTGAAATGCTGCCTTCCTGCTTCCCCAGCAGCCTGCTGGTCCTAAGGCTGCAAAGACTTCCTTGACTTGGGGAAAGGCAAGTTTTGAGTCGCAACTTGTTCCCCACCCCCACCCCCCCACTGGCTCTGAAGGTCTTTGTAGCCCACTGCTCACATTTCAGAAACCCTCCTCTTTCCTCTTGTCAGTCTCCTTGGAAGCAAACCCCGAAGTTGGAAGAAAAAAAAAAAACCCGCATGCTGTTTCCTTGTGTTTTTAGGCATCTATTATTTCTATGGAATTCTTGACAGACAACAAAAGATTTAAAAAAAAAACTGTCGATTTTTGCTGTCAAGGAAACAAGCTGTTCTCCCCGTTTAAGGCTCCCTTGGTAAACCTGGTGGAAACTTTATTAAGAATTGATGGATATAGTCAGTCTCTCACAGAAGTCACCTGGAGTTGTTCCTAGAGCTAAAATATGCCACAGGAGAGCCTGAATCCCTGAGAGTGAATCCCAGCTCCCCTGAATGACCTTGGTGTTCTGACAGGCCTGGTGGAAGGGGCTGACGACCCAGGCTGGGCTTTTCCACCGAGGAGGCCACTGTACTGCTCTGCAGTAAAAACAAGACCACCAGCACCCCACACCTGTGTAGCACTTTCTGGTTTGAGAGCCTTCAGATGAACTACCAACCTCGCTCCCCCATAACCCAGCAGCATGTGCAGATCAGGTGGGGCACAGGAAGTTATAGGTAGACCGCCCACTGCTGCCCCCTGAGGGTTTCAAGTACTGATAGCATGTAACCCCTTCTTCGTACTTTTGTCTTCCTTTTACACATTTTTCTCTTCACTATTACTTATTTGTTCATTACTTTCCTTAAAATTCTGCCTGCCAGGGAAACTGGGCAGGTAGTCCCGGGTCATTCTCCATCTGTGTTTATATCCCTATTGACTACCTCTTCTTGGTTAAGAGCCAATCTATCCCACAAACTACTCTGATTTTAGTACGACTTAATCAACTTGAATTGTGACCACACTGGTAGCGTTCTGTGGTTTGCACAGTGCTTTTAACATGGTTCTCTTAATAGGCCCTGACAAAGGTAATTTGTATATCCGACCCACAAAATGGAGGCCACCCCAGTAGCCCATCGCATGTCACAAATCTAAACCCAAGTCGGCCTGCATTTAAGGGAAACATTTCACTGTCAGGGAAACCTACCACCCACCAATCGCAATCCTCCAACTCAGCTCTAGTTGGCTTAACTTACCCTAGAAAATAGGCCCTGCTAGCCCTATATATAAGGAAATCCCTGGCCTTCTCGTCAGTCATGCCTTGCATCCTTATTGCTACTTTTAACGCTCTATGAAAGTTGCTCTTGCCCAAAATCTCTCAAGAAGAGTGCCCCGCTGGTTGTGAAGCAATGGACTCCTCCAGTCGATGGTGCGTTGTCTTTCCTTGAATAAAGGTATCAGACTTGTTATTAAATCTCATTGCTTTTGTCATTTGACAACCTTTACAGCAATCCTGTGAAGTAGGGATTCTCCACCTCATTCTCAGGTAAGGCAGCTAAAGCTCACGCAAGTTCAGACCTTGCCCTTGGCCCTTGGTCATGCTGCTGGCCTACCGTACCCAGGCACCTGCTTGGCAACTAGGGTATGTTTACAGGTGCACAAAGCTTATCCTCTGTTTCTGGGAAGCCTGTAAACCAGCAGTTAAGCTGTGATATGTATGCAAAAAATCGTAATTCAAGATAGAATTGTATTCCTCTGAAAAGAATATGAGCAGAGTACTATATCATCTCTGAGTAGGGAGAGATTCCTTTTAATGGAGGGAACATGTAGAGTGGTTGGTTAAAGTCATGGTCCTTGGTACCACAGGGACCTGGACTGAATCAGCTTCACTATTTGCTGGCTGTTGACATGGGACAGATTATTTAACCTCTGTAAATTTTAGATTCCTCATCTGTAAAGCTAGGTTTATTATACTTACCGCATTTCCATGGGGATTAAACGAGGTAGTCCATGCAACTCCCTGGGCCGAGCACAGAGCAAGGACTCAATAAATGGTGGCAATTATTGGAATACTCTCTGCATGCTTAGGATTTTGACAGCTCGAGATGGGGCAGATGATGACATTTCTTTCTTTTCTTTTCTTTTCTTTTTTTTTTTCTAAGTGTGATGGAAGGAATTTTAAGAAGGGGTAAGCAGGTTGTATTTACATTTTATATAAATCACTTTCTGACATTTTCTGCTTCATAGTCCTAAAATTGCACTGTGTGGTACGAGTCCCTTGAAAAGAAGGTAATTACCAAGACAGTTTACCATTTGACCAGAACTTTACAAAGCACTCTCAGCCCTTCTCTACAATAGTTTAGATAGTGTTGTCTCCTATTCACAGAGGAGAAGATAGGAGGCCAGGAGGTAAAATAACTTGTTTTTGGTCCCATCTAGCCAGACCAGATTCCTTCCTTTTTCTGATTCTTGCTCAAGACTTCTTTCCTTGAGACCATTCTATGGTCTTTTGCCTAGCACTTAACAGTCTACTAGGCATCGCTTTAAGCACATTATACATTTTAAGTCAATTCATCTGTACTGCATGTCTTTGAAGTAGGTCCTTTCGTTATCCTACAGATAAAGGAATTGAGGACAGAGAAGGTAAGTAACTTGCCCTAGGTTTCAGAGCATGTGCTGGACCTCTGCTTGGTACTGTTCCCATGAAATCATGCATCTCCTGGTTGTGTGCTCTGTGACCTCCAGTTTCTCTTCTGTGATCCTTCTACCTTATTCCAATAAGAGTAAAAACCAGCCTGAGGTGAACAGGTCATCAGTAGGTGTTTGCAACACCAGGCAGCTCACCTCAGCAAAGAGACAAGGGCAGTGAGTATCTGAGTTGCTCTGTTGCCTGCCTTCTGGGCTCCCTTTGACCTTGACTTGGTTGAGATGCCACACAAGTAAACGTCCTGGGGGCGGCTAGAGTGGGGAGGACATGGGATTCGAAATAAACAGACTGGGCTGAAGACCAATACAGCCATGGGCGCTTGCTCTTCTGGAACCCTAAACAAAGCGTTGACATTTTGAGGGGGGTCATAATTGTTACATCTGAAAAAATACTGGGAGTAATATGAGCGAGCACTTGTTTCTACCTGCCTCACACATTGTTCTCAGGATAAAATAAAGCAGTGCATGAATATGCAATGCGAAAACTCTGAAGTGTATATAAATATGAAGCAAATTATTTTTAATATCAAATAAAATCCTGATTTGTCTCCTTGTCTAGCGTGACTAGTGGAAATAATTTGTTTCTATAACTGAACCAGATTAGGTTGCTGGACACCAACTTTGTTTTAACCCACCTTGATTTTTTTAATCCATTGAGTTATTCTCACTCCCACCAAAGTAGACTTTTAATGATTGCATCACAGTCCTTGTCTTAGGAGAGAATCTGAACCCATGCATCTCGCCAGCTTAACACCTTTGTCCAAAGAACAAAGAGGAGACACTCTCCTGGTGTGTAGCGTTATTTGATAACTATAGTCAATGTGACCCCCTCCCCAGGTTAAGAGAGAGGATGAGGTCACATTTATTTTGTTATTCAAATGAAATTAACTGTATTTCATCCAATTTTCTCTTTCCCTGTGGGGTTCCATGAAAAAAACCAAGATCCCTAGGAACTTGCTCAGTCCAAAGAGCTTAGTCTCTATAGATACATCACTTTACAAAGGAAGAAATTAGAACATCTGGTCCAATTGCAGAAGAGCCCCTTCTCTGCTGCTGTTGCTGCCATCAACAGCAAGCCCCACAAGTTTCGGAGCTGATGTCCTGCCTATAGACAGGCGGCTCTGTTAAGATTCTCATGGGGTCACTGGTGGTTTCTCAGAAGGAGGATCAGGGAAGGGAGGAGGACAGCTTGCCCAAGGAGTCCGCCCCAAGCGCCCGGGCCCCGCGCACACCCTCTGTGAGGGTGGAGGCAGTGGGTTAGTGCTACGAGCCCAACGCCTGGGCTGGGACGCCTGGCCTCACTCCAGGCCCTGCCTCCTGCAGAGCTTCCAGGGTTAAAGCCCAATGCAGGCAGCAATCTCAGTTCTCACACTCCCAGCCCTGCCCTGGGCATGCAGT